GTTGTTCCCTTTGTCATCGGTATGTTACTTGCCTGAGATTCGATCGTCGGCATCTCAATACCTAGTTCAATCTCGTTGCCGGCAAGTCTCTTTACTCGTTTTGTAATGCAACATCCCGTAACTGACTCATTAGTCACATTGCTTGCAAGGCTTATAGTGATGTGCATTATCAAGAGGGCCTAGAGATACATCTCCGATACACGAAGTGACAAATCCTAATCTCGATCTATGCCAACTCAATAAACACCATCGGAGACACCTGTAGAGCATCTTTATAGTCACTCAGTTACGTTGTGACGTTTGATAGCACGCTAAGTGTTCCTCCGGTATTCGGGAGTTGCATAATCTCATAGTCATAGGAACATGTATAAGTTATGAAGAAAGCAATAGCAACAAACTAAACGATCATCGTGCTAAGCTAATGGATGGGTCAAGTCAATCACATCATTCTTTAATGATGTGATCTCGTTCATCAAATGACAACTCTTGTCCATGGCTAGGAAACTTAACCATCTTTGATTAACGAGCTAGTCAAGTAGATGCATACTAGTGATACTTTATTTGTCTATATATTCACACATGTACTAAGTTTCCGGTTGATACAATTATAACATGAATAATAAATATTTATCATGATATAAGGAAATATAAATAACAACTTTATTATTGCCCCTAGGGCATATTTCCTTCACTGGGCTCATATAAATACTTGACATAGAGCTTATTGTTTTGGTGCAGATTCCACATAAATTTGGCGGGCTCATGCGACACGTGGATGGGCTCCAAACATGTGAGCAATTCATTTCACACTGCTAGGCGAGGCCCCAACAAAGCCCTACAGAAAGAAATATCACGATCAACTTGACTCAGGACATGTGCGATGTGACAAATTTACATCTAACAACTCAATACAGCCCTAGTTATTGCACCATATGTGGGGTGCCCCCAACCATGCATCTTCCTAAAATCTTTTTTTTTTTGCGGGTAGAAATTTGTATTACTCAAAGCATCAAGTCCTTACAATCCATCACTGCCAACTCCAAAGCATCTGGAGGTCCCGAACCAAGCCAAGTCATGGTTCTACCCTCGCTACGAGCAAAATATGCTAAACTATCACTAACTTTATTTTGGCTACGATTAACATGAGTAATACAAAAATCACGAAGGGACAAAAGATATCTAATCTTCTTGATGACGGACGAGTAGACCGATCTATCAATATCTGAAGCTTGAATCAATTTTACTGCCATTAGGGAGTCCATCTCAACCTGCACAGGCAAGTCGCTTCTCTGGATAGAAAATGATAAACCTTTCATGCATGCACATAGCTTAGCTTCGAGTGCGTCCCGAAAGTGAAACAATTGCCTACAGGAAGAGAAGATGATGGCACCCCTCTCATCCCTTAACACCATACCTGCACCAGCCGAGCCATCCTCAGCAAAGGAACCGTCAGTGTTTAACTTGACAAATCCAACGCTAGGAGCAGCCCACTTGGGGTCTGCACTTTTGCCCATAAGAGGCCGAGTTGCTCCATATAATATCAGGGATTTTCCTTTGGACGATTCAGCAGCAAGATTAGATTTTATGCCAATGATAGAGTCCAGGTAGCTCGTCAAAAATCTGCGTAAAACTTCCATGGGTGGCGGGGCTTTGTTGTGAACAATCTCGTTGCGTATATGCCACGCCCTCCACAAGTTCACAAAATTGAATAACATATTCACGGCTTTTGAAAAATGCTCATGAAATATTTTTTCTTGAATATGAAGAAACGTTTGCAAAATTTATTTTTTCGTGAATTTAGAAAATATCCAAGAATTATAAATATGTTCAAGAATTTTATTTCTTTCACCAATTTTTGAAAAAAAGAAATAATTCTATATCTATACCTAATATTAAAAGGAGGAAGTTTTCATAGTTCTCCATAAGTCACCCTTTTATATCCGTTGATTTTGTGTTGAACTTATGATCAATGGCTGAGATTTCTCTTTTTCTTTTTTTCTCCTATATATTTTTATTAAAAAAGAAAGGTTAACGTCTCCTGATCTGTTCCTTTCGTGGAGCCTCCTAGCGATCAAAGCGATCGGTCTCATCTTTTTCTGAGCAACAACGATCAATCTCCATCTGAATCCATGCGATCATCAGAGTCCAAGCGCGATCTCATTTTTTTGTTTTTTGAGATTGATCGCTGACCAGCGGAGAAACGCCCATCTAACCTGCGCGATCTCAGAGAAGCCCAACAAGTGCTAGCCCAGCCGGCCTTGCGGGATTGCACCAAGGTGTCGATCGGATCGATCGGACAGTCTAGATTGGTAGGGCACGAGATCGTACGTTTTAAAGTTTTTGCTACACAAGCGTGTCATTTCCAGTTTGTATGGTATTCAGCTTTTATTACGTGAACAATTCCGTCTGATGGATCGCTCAGATCGATTGCTAGCTCATGAAAAGTTCGTCGGAAAAACAAAACGGAAACGCCGACACGCACAAAGCCAGTAGGAGCATACACGCCGATCCAGTTGACAGCTTAGTCCGTCCACGCGCACGAGACACATGGCACCAGTGAAATCCTAGCGGCTAGCAGCAGCGGCGATGCCGGCGGCTAGCAGGAGGGGCGGGGTCGGCCTCCCGCAAGAGCGACGAAGCGGACGGCGGTGGTTGGTGTCCACAGGCCACAGCATGGTAGCATGCAAAATCACGCCTATCGCTAGCAACTAGCACCAACAGTGGGCCGGGAGAAGGGTGCTCAGCAAGCCACAACAGGTGGCCTGACGGTGTTGCGGACTTGCTGATGAAAGAAAAAGGGCCATGTTAGACAAGTTGCCGGAGCTGGCGGAAACGGTGAGTAGCCGGGCAAGGGAGGGAGGCGGGCGTGTCCAGGATGACATTGGTTTCTCTCACAAAATCATTCTCCGTGGCTGTAAGGAGATCAATTAGACTGATTCAAGATGAAAAATTGATGGCAATGAACGGATGAGGGCAAGAGGAAAACGCCGCTGCTAAATTTGTCATGTACGAAGGTCATGAGAATGAGTGAAAGAAAGGTAGTATCCGTAACTAAGTTTACTTTATTATGTCAACCTACTACTTTAGGAATTTTTAACATCCTCTACTATTTATTGGTATTCAGTTCATTATAACTATTTGTGTCGTCTTACAAGTATCATTGTAAACTTATAACCAAACTGAAAGGACTGAAAGAGTTGCTTGTAAAAGAAATAAATGGATTAAAGTAGTTTGTCATAATCTGTTTAATTGTATACGTACTTTGATAAAAGGAGATTAGTACAAAAATAAAATGAGTTTCTCTTAGAGCATTGTTTTCATTTAATAATTAATCTTGAACGTGGTATGATGAAGACAACCTTACTGGAATTTTTGGCTGGCTTTGTAATGAAGTTCTGGCGATCGACGAAAGTTAGATTGTCTTTGTGATCTTTTACTAGCAGCGTATTCCGAGATTGCACTGAAACAATTATTTGTTGAGCGTTGATCAACCAACAGGTTTGTTATTTTTAGTTGCTCTACCAATTGGAGTATTTTTCCCCTTATAGTTCTAATGGTACATGTCAAGATTTTTGACCTATTTTGTTTCTCAGTAAAAGTTTAGTTTCAATGCACAAAATCAGATAAACAAGATGACTGTTAAAGTATTTCATTTAAGTTCCACAGATCTTGATAAACTAAATTTATTATGAACAGTGATTGTGTTTTGCACATACAATTCACACTAATTTTGAATACACAATATTTACTTTCTCCCGGGACACCGCACGGGCATATATGACAGGGAGGTCTTGAGACATCAAAGGATTTTTTTCTTCCGTTGCAACGCACGGGCATGTTTGCTAGTAAACAATAAAAAAAAACAAAATACTTTTTTTGAGCATCAGTACAGACACAAGCGCTCATATACACGCGCATACACTCACCCCTATAAACGCACACACGCACACCCTACCCCTATCGTCGACGGGAGTCTCCTCCCACTGAAAGCGCATCGCCGGAAATTCTGAAATAAATCCAGAAATAATGCGAGCACCAGGATTTGAACCCTGGTGGAGTGGGTTGGGGATACCACTGTCCACCTAACCAACTCAACCACAGGTTGATTCGCAAAAAAAAAAACCAAAATACTACTACTGGACAAAACCGATAATTACTAACTGAATAAGTACACATTTTTCGGTTTTATAACCCCTGATTAACCGAAAAAACGAAGTAGTATTACCACCACAATGTTTAGGCCCATTGTTTCTCGCTAAAGGCCCGAGGCCTGAAGGCCGACGTGGTGCGCTGGTGATGTCCTGTCGTGCCCTAGTTCCCCGAACGCCCACACCCGAGCGGCCGAGTCAGCCATCGCAGCGTGCCGCCGCCACAAGCGCTGCTCTGCCTGCTTCGCCACCACAGGCCCTCGCCCTCGTCAGCGCCGCCGCCGCCGACACAGGTCCTCGCTAGCCCCTCCGCCACCACACTCCCTTCCTCGCCGTCGCCTCCGCTGCCGCCCCACGCCTTCCCCCTCCTTCCCTCCAGGCTCCTGCCCCGCTACGCAGCGCCGGCAGTCCAGCACGCCGAAGAAGACCGTCGCCCGGCGCATATACTTTCAGGTATACTACCATTATCAATTTCTTGTCTGCACGCCTCTTGTGTTTGACGCTACATATTCAGGATGTTATGCTGTCAAAAATTGAAACACAATCCTGCTCAAAGTGACAGAGTCTGAAACTGAAAGTCGGCGCTTTCATGTTCTGTAGAATTATCGGTTTTACTATTTCAGGTGCAAATTTCGGTTTTCACATCCCACTAACCGAAAGAAAAGCCAGGTCTGGTGGAGTAGCAGTCTATTTTTTTCTTCCAATAGAAGCCAGGCTAGAAGAATGTTGCTGCTGCGAATTTAACTTGTCAATTCAAGATATCCCCTCGAGTCTTGTTTTGAAGAGTGGCTTTGTTTGTATTTGCTCACGCATCCGCCTCACAGTTTCCATTTTCCATGCAGGGTGAGCAGGATGGGGATCGCTACCGAGGAAGATCCCAAAGAGATGAAGAACCACCAAAACTCCGTGGATGAAATGGAGATGAAGGTGGTCAGGTTTTCGCGGGGGAAGGCTGCTAACTTGTCGGTAGGATAATTACTCTCCTACAAGTGTAGTCGTTGAAGTTCAGCACTAGTTGCTTTGCTATCTCTGCTGATTGAAAAGCATGTATTGGCATTTTTGTTTCATTGTGATTCTGTTGCAGGCTCTGCGTGATAAGAAATTGAAAGGGCAGCTCACCGGAAAAGAGAAGCTAATCGGAATATCTGCCAAAGCTGCTGCGCAGGCTGAAAAGGTGCGGTATTGTGGATTTGTTGTAGAATGTCTCTGAATTTGTTGCGACAAGCACATGTATAAGTAGCTGAATAACAGTGAGTATGATATGATGGAATCTGGTATTCTGTACTGTTGACTTACTACAATACAATATTCTATCATATAGCTCATCTCTAGTTGTTCAGTAGTCTTTAGCCGTTGACTGGCATCATGTGGATCTGTTTGGATGAAGTGATGGACTTATATTTATAGGATTTACATGTTAAGTGTGATATGGTTTTATCTGGTGTTCTTCCCAAAGAGGTGCTAGTCGTCGAGTAGGGTTTTATTCATGTCCTGTGCAGGAAGTAAAATTACTGTATTGCTGATAATCCTTTTGGAGTTCCTTTAGGTTAATTCATACTACCTCATGGGCAATGATCGACATATCTATCATTTTCGTGCCTCTTTGATGTACTTTTGCATAAACTTATGGTGCTTATTGGCAGCAATATACCAATTGACCCATTGAAATTCCCTGCGGTATCTATTTTTATTATCTGGCCACCTTATGCTTCTTGATCTTTGCATTTAACATATTTCGAATTTGACTTTTGCAAACATGGGAGACTTTCCATATTACTGATTTGTTGCTAACTCAATTTTCAGTGGTTTTTACCTATCGAGGGGGGGTACTTGGAGCCTGAAGGTTTGGAGAAGACATATAGATATACGCAGGAACAGATTCGTGGTGATGTCGACATTTCGAGTAAAAGAAAACCATTTGATATGATCTTACCTGGTAAATATGTAAACAAAAATTGTGTTCTCTGAAGCTGTGCCACCATTGTTACATGATCCAGTACCAATAACAACAATGTACAATACAGATGTTGATATGGAACATCATTGATGATACTTGTGTTCTTGTGTAGTACAGTTAGTTGATTAGCATTTCCAAATTGAAGTATTTTATTTCCTGATACTTATTTGGTTTGTCTTTGTAAGACTTGTACCCTTCTTATTGTGTACATGAGAGAAGGCCAATAGTTAGTTTTCTGAATGTTTATAACCATATCATCATAGAGTTATTGGCACTATCAGGTTTTTGTCATTAACAGTTTTACTTATTTGAATAATGGATGTGAGTTTTTCTATGCTTGCATGTGCCGACAGATATATATTTAATATCTATATTGCCCCATTGATGAATGCTGACTGTCAACTTCCTTATATGTATGCAAATTGAGTTAAGGGGGCTAACTAGCTCATTTTTTATGCAGAACTTGGTCCTTATACTCTAGAATACACCTCAAATGGTCGGTACATGATCGTAGGTGGGAGAAAAGGTCATATTGGTATGATGGATATGTTGAGTATGAATCTCATCAAGGAGTTTCAGGTCAGCTCACAGAACTTTTAGCAGTTTCCCAGCATGTTGGATTTTGGTAACACATTCACCACTTGAAGTTTAGTGCTTTTTTCAAAAATTAAGCTGGCAAGATTGGTCTAGTATGATCTTAAATGTTTAGTGAAAATGCAGTTGTAATAAAAGTGTGTGCCTTCCATGCAACCAAAAAACTAACAGAAGGTTGTAGTGTGGTTCTATTCCCATGAGAAAAATAATAAAAATGCTGAGCAAGTCCTCACAAAATTTTCCATTGCCTCCTTGTCGGGATTTTTATGCATATTTACTTACTGCAATGCTTTCCAAGGTTCAAAAAAGGACTGCGCTAGGTGGGTGATGGGCCTAGGCGGCCACCTGGAACATGACAGTAAGCAGGCAACTGGACACCTGAGCCCAGCACATTGCAACTGAGGGCTAGAATTACATAGAGCAGAGTGAGGGAGAAGTGAAGGTGGAGTTACGGTCCAGGTCGTTGTAGCAGGAGCGTGAAGTTTCACAGTCACGGCAGCAGCGAGCCTCCATGTCGTGGCTGTAGGGGGGGGGGGGGTTATGGAGTCTGGAAAGATGATGTTCTCATGTCATGAATATGGTGATTTCTGGCTCGTGTGGAACCCTAGCTTTACCAAGCCATTTAGGCATCCATCTAAATCATTCATGTATCCCGATCGTCTACATATCTGCTATTTATGGGCTTCCCCCATGCATGTCCGTCTTCTGCTTCACGAGGGTGCCTTCGCTTCATAATTCTCCTCGCACTGCAGCCGCCAGCCGCTCTTCTCGCTGCAGGGCTGCTGCTCCTCGTGTCGCCGCCACCTCTTGTCTGCTGCCAGAGGATGTTGGTTCCTCACTGGAGGACCTTACTGGCCGCCTAGGGCTGTAGCACCGCACCATGGAGCGCCTAGGCAGCGCCTATTTTTTGTTTTGGTCTTTTGGACCTTGATGGTCTTTATTGCCACAAAGACTTTCTGGTGTTCACATTTGATGATGATTAAAGAAAATGATCCCTCCTATTATTTCTACCTGGTCAAATCCTACTCTTGTCTCCCACTTTTCTCCAGAACTATCCTTGTCTTTTATAATTACAGTGACTAGACACTTTGGTTGCACTTTATGCACATACTTTACTTCTCTGATCCTCTATTTTTAACACTTCTGATCCTCTTTTTATAGGTGAGGGAAACTGTGCGCGATGTGGCATTCTTACACAATGAGCAACTCTTTGCAGTCGCCCAGAAGAAGTAATTTCTTGACCCTGTTTAAGCTTTGCGACATATATCCCTTGCTCATAAAATATATCAATATGTTTCGTCTGCTAGTCTTAGTTTGATTTTCGGCCACATGGCTAGAGTTATGCAGCATGACTGCATGATTCACTACATTATTCTATATATAGTTATATACTACCATGAACCTTGAAGAGTTGTTGTGACCACTCATGCTGATTTTGGTACCATTTCTTTGATTTTCTAGAGTTCTTAACAAGAGTATTGTTGAAACAGGTACCCCTACATATACAATCATCATGGCACAGAAATTCACTGTTTGAAGGTAAGTAATTTTGAATACCTTTGCGTTCTTGGTAACTATGCTCTAACTATTGATGATTTTCATAATTTATTGCAATGCTGTTTCATCATTTAACACATGCTTGCATTCATTATGAGAAAAGACTAGATAATAGTAAAATAGAATACAGAATATCCCTATTCCCATTTTCTTATGAACCCTGCAGAACTGATGAATGATATATTGATATATCTCAATTATTTATGTAGCTACGTCAAAATGATTTGGTCCTAAATGAGCTCATCTCAATACCAAACTCATTTGTACTAAGAGTTAAGTACTGCGATGTGCTGATTCGTACTAAACTTGGAGAACTAGTAAAGTAGCATGGCTCTGCTCCGATCTCGATGAGCTGAATAGATTGTTCCATTAAGGTTGAAGGAGAAAAATTACAAAAAGTTTGATTACATGAGGCCCCAGAAGGCTTGCCCCCCATCCACCTGTGCTAACGCTAAGATTACATCTCATCCATGGCCGCCGTTTCTACCGTACCGCATTAATGAATATAATATTTTTTTTCCACAGAGCATTCCGAGATGAACTTATTTGTACTAACTATAAACATTCAAGCTACTGCAAGTTTGTTGTTTGGTAATTTCTTTTGAAAATGCTTTTGTTTCTTAAGCTGTAGAAGCATAATTTTAGAGCTGCTCATCATCCAGCTTGTACTTGGTGTATATATATCCAAGACATGACATCTCTGAAATAGTTGTAACTTCTCTGATCTCTGACAATTCTTCTGTTTCACAGGAACATGGCAAAGCGCTGAAACTTCAGTTTCTGGATAAACACTTCCTCTTGGCATCGATAAACAGCTTTGGGCAGCTCCACTACCAAGATATGAGCACCGGCGAGATGATTGCAAATCACAGGACAGGTCTTGGGCATACAGATGTTATGCGGGTAAATCCGTACAACGCTGTCATCGGCCTTGGGCATGCTGATGGCAAAGTTACCATGTGGAAGCCAACCAGCGTGAAGCCACTTGTCACAATGCTGTGCCATAATGGCCATGTGACTGCTGTTGCATTCGAGAGGGGTGGTCATCTTATGGCAACTGCAGGTCTTGACAAGAAGATTAAGATTTGGGATCTCAGGAAGTATGAGGTTGTGCATACACACGCTGCACGAGCTGAGTCCTTGGATTTCAGCCAGAAGGGGTTGTTGGCCGCCAGTGATGGATCTCTAGTTGAGATATACAGGGATGCTGGGGGCCATGATTATAAAGTTTATTTGAAGCATAGGATGGTAAAGGGATATCAGGTCGGTAAGGTTTTGTTCCGCCCTTACGAGGATATCTGTTCGATTGGGCACTCCACGGGGTTTTCTTCCATTCTCGTTCCTGGATCAGGCGAGGCCAACTTTGATACCTTTGTTGAGAACCCTGTGGAGACTGCCAAGCAAAGGAGGGAGAGGGAGGTGCATGCTCTCCTCAATAAGCTTCAGCCGGAGACTGTGATGCTTAACCCAAATATGATCGGTAACGTGAGACAGCCAAAGAAGAAAGAGAAGAAGACGAAAAAAGAAGTCGAGGAGGAGATTGAAGATGCGGTGGAGGCCGCCAAGAGCACGAAGGTGAAGAATAAGACCAAGGGCAGGAGCAAACCCAGCAAGCGGGCCAAGAAGAAGGAAGAAGAGGTCCTCAGAGCCAAGAGGCCTCTACTGGACCAGTACAATGAAATCGGTGGGCATCCCGACAAGAAACAGCGGGTCGGCGACAAGGCCGAGCTGCCAAAGGCCCTGCAGCGGTTTGCCAAGAACAAGCAATCATGATCTTGTTTATCTAGCAGTTTGTGCTGTAGTATCATCTATCATGTAGCTGGCAGGTAGTATTTGAGTCCATGTGGACATGCCACATGAGACAACGGTGGGAAAGGATGCAGCAAATTTTTGTCTCGAAATAACTTGATGTTCTAGTTGAAATTTAGCTCACTTCTTGAGTTGGACATCCTATTATCTTGTATGAATGGGCTAGGCTTGGGGCTTGAGAGGTTTATTTGATGTATTGGTGGAGCCTTTTGGGTTGGGTGTCAACACAACTTATTGTGCAAGTTACATGTGCATTTTACTTATGGTGAGCACCACACTGGGAATGCTACAACCTAGAATGTGTTTGGTTTAGAAAAGGTTAAGTAGATGTAATCAAATCAGATACTTCCAGCACTCTTCCATTTGTAAGTATGATGCAACAAGCCACCAACTGAAAACAACCGAAATAGGAATCAAAATTCAAACCAACGGATGACCGAGATAATTCAGATTTGGTAGTAATTTCATGAGAGCTCAATCGCAAGAATTAGCACATGCGCGCAGAAAGAAGCGGACGATCTGGGATGGGTGCTTTAGGGGAAGTATCAGGTGATGCAACACTAACATGCTCCGACTTTGAAAAAATAAAAATCAAATCTAAGCGTGTCAAAAAAAAATCCGATTTTTTGTATGGATGTTCACAAGACATGTCTACAACCAATGAAAAATTCATATCAAAATTCGAAATGCAGAAAGAGATACAAAAACGACAAATCCATCCAGCATTTGAAATACAGAAAGGACAAAAATAAAAACTCAACGCTATCCATGCCGGATTTGTCTTTCCGTTTCTCTTTATGGATTTTGAATTTTGACTTGAATATTTTAGGAGCTGTGCATACATGTCTTGTGGACATCCACAAATACTTGTAGATTTTTTTGACACATTTCAATTTGATTTGTTTTTGAAATGGGAGCATTCTAGTGCTGGTAACACTAGATATTTTCCTGGGTGCTTCGAGTGCCATCATGAATCCTCTGGTTTTGAAGCTCGGCTGCCTACTTCCTCACGAGCATGCTTCGGTTATTTGAGAATATAACTAGATCGTTGATTAATTGAGAAGCGAGGAAGTAATTAGCAATGATATTTCATTTTCCTCTCTCCTGTAGAGGGACGCAGCTAGTGTGACGTGTCTTGGAAAAATATGATGCATATATTTAAAACTTGATTCGCTACCTGGGCAACATTACTATTTTTCCGAGAGTATGACGAGCAAATTGCATAACAATTTTTCTTGGATAAAGATAGAAAAGAGTTTACAAGATATTTCTTCAATAGAACGCTGCTAGGTAGTGTTGCAAAAAATAAAAGAAGGAACTGGGTATCTTTATACTATAACTTCAACATATTTTTTGCGATTACATGGACAACATTACTATGAAGCTATACTGAAAAAAAAGGAAAATCTAATACTTGAACTTCAAAAGTGGAGTACTAATAATTCTTCAGACTTCAAGAACTTGATCAGAGCTACCAAAGGATGCAAGTCGGCATAAATCTTCCTTGCACGAACTTCAAAGTATCGACTCAGCATAGTTGGTGTCAGATCGACGTAGTGGATGCCTGTACGTCGGTACCTCTCCAAGTCAACCGCCGAACTCTCTGTACTTCCTTGCTACCTACCTGTTACCTGAACTTTTTTGTTGTTGTGAAACTATGAAACTTTACTGGGCTACTATGAAACTTCACTGAAACCGAAATTTTCGTACTCTATGCTTGAACTTTTTTAAAAAACTAGTACTAAGAGTACTCTCTTCGATCCATGTAAGTGCCGCTGGTTTGGTACTCTCTTCGATGGGAAGGAGTACTATTTTTTTGTTGACTTTTTTCGAAACGGAATTCTTCAGACTTCGGACTTCAAGGGCTTGATCAGAGTTACCATGGACGCAAATCAGCATCAGTCTTCCTTGCACGAGCTTTGAATTCTGAGCTCAGCATTGCTGGTGTGAGATCGACCTAGCTAGTGCAGGCCTTTAAGAAGACCCCGGTATTTTCGCACGTCGCCGCCGAGCTCTACGTACTTCAGCCGCATGAAGACCTGCAGCGCGTGCACGCTGGCAGCAGCTGCGAGGCGAGGGCTCCCCAGCGGCGGATGGAAGCCGAGGTAATCGGCGATGTGCTCCAGCCCGATCGGCATGGCCGGGCAGTCGGCCGCCATCCTGACGACATCATAGACCTGGTCGCCGAGGTAACGCCGCACGGCGCCGTTGAACCCGGCCACATCTCGCGGCAGGGCGGCCCCGCCGGTGACGACCTTGAGCAGGTACGCGACGTGGTAGGCCCCGGCGTAGGTGATCCAACTCCGCGATCGCCCACGCCGAGCGCCGACCAGGCCGGATTCAAACAGCTTCTTGCTTAGCATGTCGGCGCTGACGCCGTGGTCGCGGAGCGCGCCGACGTCGAGGCCGCGGCCGGCGAGGTACGCGAGGGAGTTCTCGTCGCGCGGGTCGGCATGGGGGCGGAAGTCGCGGAGGTTGAACTCCCAGGCGGCGATGTACCCGCCGTGGCTGTCGTAGAGCGCGACGCCCACCTGCAGCGGCTTCAGGTCGTCGACATTGGCCTTCACGAGGGCGTAGCGCTCCTCCACGGTGAGGGCGTTGTGGTCCTTGCCGGGGTGGTGGACGACGCCCGGGTAGTGCACGTCGACGGCGACGTACTGGGCTCTCCTGGCGACGTGGCAGAGGTTGGCCGATTCATGCTTGAAGTTGGATGCCCACACGGAGCGCACAGGGACTGGCCACGATGCCCATACCGGCGACATGGGTGCATGGTAGAAGTACGGCGGGGGCTGCACCGGGAACGTATGGTGGAAAGGTGGCGGCGGCGGCGGCGGAAACACTGGGAACATACCGGCGGCCGGGTTCATGCTGATCGATGCCTCTGATCAACAGGAGAAGCTTGTAGCTCTGCGTTCGTGTTAGCTAGGCGGGTGGTGTGTTCGCATTATAAGGAAAGGAGAGGAAGTAGAGTCGTTGTCGTAGTCGGACGAGGAAGGATATTGCGGTGGTCGGACACGGATCGGCTGTAATTCAGAGAAGCTAAGCAGCGTGGGTCATACGAACTCTTTATATTTTTTTGGGCAGGGAAGTGGGTCATAAGAACTCGCAGCGTGGGGAAGTATCAGGTGATGCAATACTAACATGCTCCGTCTTTGAACAAATCCACAACCGTTGGGCCCTCTTGTTACCTTCAAACTCTTCTTCAGAAATTTGTGGTCCGTCCCAGGGGTGACGGCTTGGTCCTGGTGTGGCGCTCGCGAGGCGTCCCGTCGGCGCGCCGCTCTCCGCCGCCGCTGATCTCCCTCCCAGATCTCCCCCGCCCTTCCCCCCACCCACCACACCATCACTCTGCCTGGGTCTCCAGTCTACACGGTCGGCCCGTCACAGGTTTCGGTGGGGTGCGAGGGTGCGCTGTCGCCGGCCAGCGTAACCCTAGTTTCCTTCCCCTTTGTTCTGGTTTTTGGTGGATCAGAGTCCTCAGTTTCTCACGCCTGACATGGATCGAGTCGAGGGATTGATGAAGGGCCTCAAGCTGTCTGATTTGGAGAGTAAGGGTAGGAAGATTGCTTGGGCTGGAGGGGGGAAGGATGGGGTTGTGGAACCACAAGCTGTAGCAAAATTATTGTCGGATAAACCAGCTTTTGCGGAAGGAATGGGGATTGCCCTTGGGAAACTCTGGTGCCCGCTGAGAGGCCTGGGTTGCAAGGATCTGGGCGAAAATAGATTCATGTTCACCTTTCGTCAGCATTCAGGTAAAAGGAAAGCGTTGGACGAAGGCCCATGGATGTTCGGAAAATCCTTGCTAGTGATTGAGGATTATGACCCAACAAAAAGCATAAAGGAGTATGAGTTCAGAAGAATCCCTGTTTGGGTCCGAGTCTATGACCTGCCTTTGGGAATGATGTGTAGGGATGCTGGGCTGGTGATCGGAGATGTCATTGGGAAGGCGTTAGAGGTTGATGCTGGGGCCGATGGTATGGCCGTTGGGAAGTATTTGAGGGTCAAGGTCCGTATGGACATATCAAAACCACTCATGAGAGGCTTTGTGCTTGATGACAAAGAAGACAAGGAGGGGGGAGAACAAGTCCTAACAGAGGAAGAGAAGAGGAAGAAGGAGGAGGTGAAGTGGTGTCGTTTCGAGTATGAGTTCCTCCCAGACTTTTGTTATGTGTGTGGCATGCTCGATCATGTGGAAAATGACTGCTCGATAAGGCTCAAGAAGGGGGAAAACAAACAGTATGGTCCATGGTTGAAAGCATTCATACCTCGGCCCTCAAGCGATGCAAGCAGAGGAAGTTGGAATGATGGCAGAGGTAGATTCGAGGGGCGCAGCAATGGGAGTGGCAGGAGTTTGAATTTGGGTCATTCCAAAGGTCGAACGGGTAGTGACAGTGAGGGTTGGCGCAAGACTAAACCGGTTACTTCAAACCGCCTAGCTGATAAGGAAAACCAAGAGGAAGAGGTTACGAGCCCGCTTAAGAGGCTAACTGATCCGATGCAGATCGAACAGAGGACGAAAGAAGGGGGGGGGAGGTGAGAAGGAGGGGACGAGGCGAAAGCATCTAACTTTTAGTGGCGTTGCTGTGGGAGGAGATGCGAGGACTGCAGGAGTCTCTGCTCTGGAGGAGAGCGTTGGACCACAACAACCCAGCTGGCAGGAAGAGGGTGCGAGGGACGAGGAGAAGGGAGGCGTCGTGGTGCTGGTCGGTGGGGCTGTAGGAGCAGAGAACAAAGGGGATAGGGGTGGTGTAGGTCTGGTAGGAGAGCCTGCTGCTGACCCAGCTAGGGACATATCAGGACGGAGGGGGGGAGGGAAGTTTAATAGGAAGAGCCGAAGGAAGGGAGAAGGGGATGGAACGCCTCTGGGTGTAAGGCTGGGGTCGAAGAGAGGGGGCGATGACATGGAGTGTGACTTAACAGAGGAAAGTGATGGGAAGAGGAGTAAGACCGGGGTGACAAGGCCA